CTTGCTACATTTGGTCCTTAATTAGCCTTTGTTACATTTAGCTTTTAGCTATCTTATTTAAACACTTAGATTAATTCTAGCCTTTTGCGCCTTTACTAGCTTCTAGCTAGCCATTTGCTACTTTTAGCTTTAAATTAGCCTTTTGTAACATTTAGCTTTTAGCTAGGTGTAGATTTTGGCAGCCGTCTTGGACTGGGTTAACTCTTCAAACAGATGGCGGACTCTGAAACGTGGTGTTTGTTCATTGTAGTTTGTGAAAAAATATCAAGTTAATTTATTTTAAAAGGCGAGATGATTGTAAGCTAAAGGTTGCAGGCGTGAATAATTAAAAGAGCTTTAAACGTCCGCCCCTTCAGGTAGAATCAGTTTGAAGCTTTAAGTTGTGCTGAGGTGAACAACAAACCTTACAAAGCACAAAGGTGCAGCATTCACAGCTGTGCTATAAATACACAGGTTGGTCCAAAGGACACAAACATGTTGTGCAGCGGTTCCTCCCGTCGAATGCGTCAGACACCAGGTGGGTTAAAGAGCAGAACCTCGTCCATTTGGGACAAACAGATCCAGAACTTTCCTGCAGGACCTGACAGATGAGAACCGGCCTCAGAGAGCAACAACACAGTTCTGATGTTCTTTTTGATTATTACCTGCAGACCTGGTTACATCATTTTACGCCTCAAACACTGCTCATTATTAAAGACTTTACAGAAGATACAGACAATGTAAGTGAATAAAATGATGCTGGGGGACTTCAAGGCCCACGTGGGCAACGAGCGTGTGGCCTGGAGGGGCGTGATTGGGAGGAACGGCCTCTCTGATCTGAACCTGAGCGTGTTCTGTTGTTGGACTTCTGTGCTAATCATGGTTTGTCCATCATGAACACCATGTTCCAACACAAAGGTGTCCATAAGTGCACTTGGCACCAGGATGCCGTAGGTCATGGAGCGATGATTGACTTTGTAGTCGTGTCTTCTGATCTGTGGCCGTTTGTTTTGGACACTTGGGTGAAGAGATGAGGATAGAAACTGGTCATTTATGGCTAAAAATAAACTAATCTCAGCCACTACCACCAAAGTTTAGCTCATATTTGTGAACATGACTGAGTCGTAGTCATTTTTGAAATGGCTAATGTAATCAGTTGTGGTGGCCATCTTGGATGGGGGTTTATTCTAAATGTGAAGAAATTATCACTTAATGAGCGTTC